ATATATATATATATGTTCCACATTGATTTGGAGGTTCTTTACACAGCTGAGTGAATAGTGACTGTGCATCTGACATCATCACTGATGTCTCACTCTGGGGTCACACCCACTTTGTAGCAAAAAGTCCCCAGATAATGCGTATGGACTTTATAAACAGCTTGAAAAGAAAAAAAAAGTTAAATATGGAATGTGTAGTTTTTTTTTTGATACTTACACAAAGTAAAAAGAAAAACACCAAAATGTCAGCTTTAATTTATAAAGACATCTGAAATTCAGGACCAATGTGGTTTTGATGAACCATAATGTCCATTACTACTATACAATTTACAATATTTCAAGACTATAGAAAGAGGTTCATAGAAATAACAGGAAAATCTATTTTGTTCACATTTTAATGACCAGGGTCCACTTACTATTTTTGAACATGTGAGAAGAATCTATCAAGACCAGTAGTCTTTGATTTATGAGCCTTTTCACATGTTACACTTCAAATCCTACAAGAGGCAGCCATGTTGAATGTTTTGCCGGTGAAATGATGTGCCCAAAGACCATGTTAATCGGCAACATAGACGTATAATGGCTGCAGCATATATTCCTTCAGTTGTGTTGATGTTTGTGTTCAAACATATTGGTCTTTAGTTGGGACAAGATGTGATGACTGTAAAGTCTATCGTATGCTGTTAACATAATTGTAATGCTCATCACTGACCCTTTGTGCCTCGTGGATGGGATCATTTAGAGCTTTGAAAAGAACAAGCCTTAAAATAGATTGTCCCGGTGCATCACAATAATCCATGTAGAAAACAAAAATGTGTCAGGTCCTCTGGACAAGTTCTTCTTCATAGAAACAAACACTTCTCTTGGAGAAGAGATGGAACATTTAAACACAGAAGAACCTATCCAGAGGACCTAACTCAACCTTTTTAATTTTAAAATAGATTATTTATTAAAAAGCAATAATATGATTTTTTTCAGAATTAGTTTGTGCAGATTTTGATGTGACCTTTCCTTCTGAAATACCTCCCCATTTCCCCAACCCTGCAATATAACAGAGATGTCAAACCTTGTTATTGTAGGGAAATAAACATATTTTTTTTCTTTGTGTTGTAATCTGTTGAGAACCTGTATAATCCAACTGAACATGGTCTGCCATGGTTTGCACTGCTGTATGAGCTTCAGTCTCAAATTCTTAAAATTATTCAGTTGTGGTCTATATGAAGTGAAACTGCAATGCTTTGGTCTGAATACTTCATAGCTCCAGGCCCCTCTTTCACCCCTGTTCAGACATGTGAGAGCAACTTATGTTGGAGCGGGCTCTTTAAATGAAATTAGTCTTTTCATACCCCGCCTCACTACACTGCAGTGGTGGAGAAAGTACTCAAACACTGTACTGAAGTAAAAGTACAAATAAACAGACAAAAATGTACTCTAGTAAAATTAAAAGTACCACATCAACATTTTTACTTGAGTAAAAGTAAGTAAGTACTTGCTTTTAAAAGTACTTAGAGTATTAAAAGTTAAAGTACTTGCTTAATGTATTCCCTAATGGTCTACAATATTATGAAGTGTGTCTATGTATATTTTAAATACATCAATGGTGTGTGATTTTAGTAAACAATGCTGCAGTTTGTGTTGATCCTCTGTGACACTGTTCACACTTGGTGTGATTCTGTGCATCATCACAGATTGTGACAACAGCTACAGAAGCTGTAAATTTGCCACCATCGTCCTTTGTCAAATCTCATCAAGTCGTTTTTTGAACCAGTTAACTTGAATAAATAAGGCCATGAGTGGCACATTTCCTCCTTTGTGGAATCCATTGTGGGCCTGCTGCTGATGCTGCTGCTGCTGCTGCTGCTCCAGGTGATGCAGAATCGCTCCGCTTTTTTTTTTCTTTTTGAAGGAGGGTCTAATGGTACTTTCCTGCTTTGCACTGCTTCAATGGACCAATTAGAGAAATTCCCCTCTCGCCACTGATTACTTTCAAACAAAAAAAAAAAAGCAATGCGACGTGATATGAATGTAATTTGTAATTCAACGCATTACAGAAATGTAGTGGAGTAGAAAGTACAGATACTTAATGTAAAATGTAGTGGAGTAAAAGTCAAAAGTAYYCATGATGAAATCTACTTAAGTAAAGTACAGGTACATGAAAAATGTACTTAAGTACAGCAACAAAGTACTTGTACTTGGTTACATGCCACCACTGCTACACTGTGGTTTGATAGCAGAGATACGATGATCTCACAGCACAGAAACTTTTTTATTTACAAACTGATTAAACGATGTCAACAAGGGAAAACTCGTCCATCCATCCTTACATGTTGGAGCCAGAGTCTGACCCAGAGCCAGAGGAAAATGAAGACGACAAACCTGCGGAACTGCAGATTTGTGGAATTGGTTGGCCAGAATTGCATGACCTTGTTTAGTAGTTCCACAGCAAATAGTGTAACACTCAAGTTCAAAAAACATATTAACGGATTGAAAAAATATGACCCAAATAAAACAGAAAGATATCTACACAGCACTCCTAGAGACTCCCATATTTAAGAGCTAAAAAAGTGGATTTGGTCTATGTCCCCTTTAAAAGTTGTTATACTCACGTGTAAGTGTGTATAAAAGTAAACACTTGTTCTGGGCACGGGTGGCTTCAAACTCTTACAAACTACTGTATCTGTTATATCATCTTTTTATGTAAAGTCCCAAATACAGTAGCCCTTTCCTCTTTTTCTGGTGATAGGTTCCTCCTGCAAATTGTTCTCACTACAAATTAGAACAACAAAGTCTGATTTATTAACCCTGAGTGGGGATTGGTGGAAGAGTGTTTGGACCACAAAGAAAATATTGATGACAGAAAAAACTTAAAGAGAATAAGATTCTCTATAGTAGATTTAGGCTCAAATTCCTAACTTGTAGGTCTTTTAGAATATGGCAAACAAACAGGCTCATTGGTTTTACTACACAAAAGAATGAGACTAAATTATACAGTTTATACAGTCTTATTTTGAAAATCCATTATTACAGAACAATAAAACCAAACAGTGCCGTTCAGTACCTGTAGTTGCTGAGCAATGCAGCCACAATCCAAAATAGCTTAAGCAATACAATTACTGTTTTATTTTAGGATTTTCCACAAGAAAACGGTATCAGTAGTAGTTTCCTGCAAAAGGTGACCTTTGTTTTCTCCTCTGACTTGGCAGGCGGCGGTTTCCCATGAGACAGATTGACTGCTCAAGATGCGAGCCGTGATTTAATTTCTTGACATAATATTTGCAGCCTCTCAACAGATAGTGAGCTCCCAATGATGGTGCTGAATTACAATCACAGCCTCTTCAATTCAGAAACCCTGCTGGTGGCTCATCATCATCATCATCATCATCAAAAAACAAAATGAATCTTAGGATGGAGGCATCATTTTAGCTGTAATGACAGGCCGTTAATGTTGTAGGTTTGAGAAAAACATAGTGAGCGTGTTTTTCTCCTCCAAATGCGAAATCATAACTCAACATGAGGTTTTCAGCTACGTAATCTGTGCTTTTTTTGTTTTTTCTTTGCACAGGTACAACCCGCTCCCCTCGAGACGGAGAGGTCCCAGGGGTGGATTACAACTTCCTGTCTGTGGAGGACTTCCTACAACTCGAGGAGAGTGGCACGCTACTGGAAATAGGAACGTATGAAGGTGAGGACGATGATCACAGCTGGCACTTGATGTGACACATGGCAGCCCAGGTGTCCTCATTCTCCACAGACACGTTGAGCACAGCCGCCATCGTGTTGTGTTGGTTTTCTTCCTACATGCAGGCAGGCTGTAAGGCCACGCGCTCAGTTGATTCTGATTAAACTGTGCGTGATGAGAGGAGATGCATTAAGGAGACAGCAGGTCTACCCCGCTCACTCTGATTAGGGCACTGTTGGGCAGAGCTAAGTCTCAAACTGACACAAACCTGTGCGTGCGCGCACGTGTGTGTGTGTGTGTGTGTGTGTGTGTGTGTGTGTGTGTGTGTGTGTGTGTGTGTGTGTGTGT